GACAGGCAGCGCTGCAGGGCGCCGTAGCCAAACCACAGGTTTTTCACCGTGACCCTGCGGAGACCTGGACAGAGAGAGCCCCGAGAGCCCCGCGGGCACCCGCAGCAGCCCCGGGCTGGGCTGTGACAGGGGCTGCAGGGCACCCAGGGCTCCACAGCCACCCTGACCTACCTCTGGATTTCAGCCTTTGTATTTCTTCTGCGGGAACTTCAATGAGGTCGTGCCTGCCTTTCTCAGGGCCCCGGACCAGGTACACATCCCTGCCCAGCTCCTGCCTGCCCAGCTCCAGCTTTCTGATCTCCATCCCTGTGGAAGAGGCGGGGTCAGGTGCTGAAGGCTCAGCCTTCCTCCAGAGCTACTGCTACAGCAAAGCACCACAAGGACATCGGAAACCCAGCCAAGCCTCGCAGCAGCAGCAGGCAGACCCTCTCAGTGCAAACCATGTGCATCTGGGCTTAGGTTGCCTCCTGCACCCAAAAGTTTCTTACAACCCTTTTACAATCCACAGTGTGAGAGTTATGACCCACACTGTGACACTTCTGCACGAAGGAAATGGGGAGAAAGCTGATCACAGGGTCAGCAAGAGATGAGCCAGAGGAGGAGAGGTGGAGTGGACTTGGGCTGGGACCCAGGTGGGATGACTAAACTGGGCCCTGGTGAGATGCCATTCCCAAGCTCTGCCAGTGCCACTCACCGACATTCCCATGCTGGATCGTGATCTTGGTCCTCCCTGCAGTCAGCAGTGGGGCCAAGAGTGACACCATCCTGTCACAGAGCTCAACAACAGCCATGGGCCCTCTGATGACCTGCAAACATGAGAGAGCAATGGAATCAGCACCTGCACTGCCAGCCCACACTTCCCACGGCTCACAAGAGCTCCTGAAGTGCTTGGTTCCTGGCAGAAAAAGAGAAGTTGGGAGTCAAGCCCTTTGCTTCACTTTTCTTTGGTTTCTTCAATAAAGCATGTTCCCAGTTCCTTCCTTTCCTTCCTCAGTGGAGACAAAACTGGCAGTGAGGGAAACTAGCTGGTCTTTAATAAAAACCAAACACAAAAAAAAGCACCCCACAAAAAAACAACCAAACAAAAAAACCCACACAACAAACAAAAAAACCAAACCAACCAAACAAAACCAACAAAAAAACACCCACACATTAAATCAGCATGGAAATTTATAATTAAATAAGTTTCTGTAAAGTACTGATTTTTTAGACCTAGCTCCTGATTTTTGCAGAGCTGTAAAACAACCACCCTCTCTTCCTGGAAAAAGCTTCACTGAGAAAGAGACTCTTCTGCTGGAAGGGCAGTAGGTGACTGGCCCCATGACTGAGGTCCTGTGTGTGTTGGGCAGCACAAATGCTACCCCATAATACTCAAACTCAGCCCCTGTCTCCCTCAGCAGGTACATGGGCTGCACCAGCTCAGCCGGGCCAGGGCTGGTTTTGTGCCGCTGTCCAGAAGCTGTGAGTAACTGTGGCCATGGGGACACGAATGACTCCAAGGGATGAGGTAAACTTGAACTATTCAGCATCTTTCATGTCTGGAGGTCCCTGGCGTGGTTCCTGGAGCACTGGGCAGGCCAGACACTGTCACACATTTCCCAGGGACAGGCAGCCAGCGCAGGCCAGACAGCAGACACAAAAGATCCGCGTGAGAAGGGAAGAACCCAATGGACAAAATGCTGCTGGGGGTGGGATGATGGAAAGCCCTCTGAGTGTTCTGAGCAGCGTGGGGGCTGGTGGCAGAGCTCCTTGGCAGCCCACCCATGGCAAACACAACAAACAGAGAGGGCAGGATGTGGGAGCAAGGGATCTACAAAGCACCGGGAATCAGCAAACTGTGTGTAATCCTGTAAATCCAGGCTGACAAAGTGGAGAAAATTGAAGAGAGCTGAGACAAGGTGCAAGGAAGGCACCACTTCTTTGCAGAAAAGCCTTTTTGCACCTCCAACAAATGAGTCAACAGTAAGGCCCTTATCTGAGCTGGCCAAGAGGCTCCAGGCCCATCTTGCTGCATTTTCACAAGCTCCAACATATGTCCAGAAAAGCTGAATGTGACCACACCAGGACAGGCCCTCAGCCAGTGGTCACACAGCAGGCCAAGGAGCTGCACACAGCATAGGAGGAGCAGCTGTGGCACACAGCTGGCCAGGCTGCTGGTGACATGTTACCTGGCTGACTGATGACCAGGTTTCAATATTCTGCTCTTCCAAGATTAACTCCGTCACTTCCACATAATATTGGCCCAACTGCTCCAACATCTCCAAGTCCTCTCCCTCCTGGACTTCCACATTAGAAACTTGTTTCAGTAGCTGAAGCACTGTAAGGAGGTCAGATGAGTCCAGCACAGGTGCCTCTTCTTCCCTCAGGACAGTTGTCAAGACATCAAGAGCACCAAGAGCAACAGAGAGGTTCATGTCCTGGACATCACTTGTGAAGATGTTGTCAGGAATCTGCAATGGAAAAGATGTTTTAGCTCAGTGCAGAGCCCTGATTCTGCCTGATATCAGCTATGCCCTGGCAATGCCCTGCCTGCCCTCGCTGCTCGAGGGCATCTGTCTGGCACAGCAGGCACATCTTAGGGGAAGAAGATCTCTATTGCCACTTTGAGCTGTCTTGCCCAGCCTCTCGGCTCAGGGACAGGAACCAGCCTGAAGCAGCACTTTGCTTGTGTGGCCACAGCACAAGGAACAGCTGTTCTGGTCACACTCTTCAACAGCAGCTCAGAGGAGACCACAGGTGTAACTACTGGCAAAGTGACCTCAAACAGCAGCAGGTGCCAGCAAGTCCCCCCCAAACGCGGGTCCCGGCTGGTGCTGTGGCAGCTGCCCCTGCTGGGGCTGCAGGACTCACCGCCGCCCTCCCCGCGCTGTTGATGCTGCCGAGGAGCGAGCGCCTGGATCCCCGCTGAGCCTCCTTCAGCTGCCGGTAGGTGTCTGAAAACACAACAGCAGGACCGTCGGGGTGGGCTCCAGCAGTGCGGGAATGTGTTGTGTTCAGAGCCCGGGGAACGGGCCTCAGGTGGTGGGTAAGTTGGTAGGACAGTCAGGGCAATAAGACTTCACACAACAAAATAGTTTCTAGCAAAAGGTCCCACCTGGAGGGCTGGTCTAATGCTGCTTCCCTGCCTCTTCCCCCTGCACCCCTGGCCAGTGGGTCTGGAGGTGCCTGGACTGGGAGGCACCCTGCAGCTCTGTGTCCCCATGGGGGACCTGTACAGGCACAGCTCAGCTGCAGGACAGCGACATGAGCTGGCAGAGGGGATGCAGCTGAAGCAGTCACAGCTACACCCTGTTCTGCATGCAATCACTTCAGGGCAGACACGAGGCCTCCCCAGCACTGCCCATCACCCTAGCTGGGCTCTCCAGGAGTCAATGCTGTGGAAGTAACAGATCAATAAATACCAGATGCTGTACCCTTTGTGTGACGACAGATAAAAGGCAAGGACTGCAAACAAGAGGTGTAACTGAATCCACTAAAAACTCTGCATTCCTCAACAGGCCCTGTGGGAACACACACAAAGAGAAGGCTCATGCTCCCCAGACACACCATCCCCAGGCAGGTATCACATTTCCTGCAAGCAGCCCACAAACCCTGCTGGAGACAAAAGCTGCAAACTGCTCCTTAGGCAGCCCTACAGCTGAGCCAGAGCAGGGACTGGGCTCAGAAACTGCTTCCCATGTGCTGGTAAATCCTCCAGAAGGAATTCTGTACCAACTCTGAGTTGGTAGCAGTGCCAGGACCTGAGTGACTTATCAGTAATATCACACTGAGCTGGCTGAGGGGCAGATCCCACCTCCCAGCAGAGCACCAAAGCATCACTGACAAGCAAGCCCTTTCTCTCAGCAGAAGAGAAAGGCTGTGATGAGCTCAGGACACCTGAACTGTTTGTGCTTGGGTCACTGCTGGGGGCTTCAACGACCAAGACTCTAGTGACAATTGTGCTGACACTTGCAGGAGAGAGCTGGAGTAGTGAGGGGAATAAGACTTACCTGGGCAAAGAAACTGTGCAGTCACTTCCTGGACGCTGCTTTCCACCTCCAGAGTGTTTGAGCTCCACCCAAATACAAGGTCTTGCTCTACCATCCAGCACGACCGAACCTTCTCAATCTGCTCTGCACTGAGGACTTTCTGCCAGATGTGCAGGTCGGTGATGTTCCCACTGAAGGACTCCTTTGCCCTGAAGGTGCCCCCCAGAGAATCTTGATCCTGCCCAATGATGAAAGTCCCCTGGCCATAGATGGCCTGGGGGGCAGATGGCCCTGCAGCACACAAACCCCTGGCAGATGCCCTCCTTTTGCCATCAGCATAGATGGCCCAGGTCCCATTTTCCTGCTGCCAGGTCACACAGAAGTGATGCCACTGTCCATCAGCACGGAACACGGGCAGGTATGGGGAATGGTGCCCATGGACTATGAGAGCAAATCGAACAAAACCTTCCTCGTCAACAAAGCCACGGAGCTGGAACTCATTAATAAAAGCTGGCACAGCATAGGAGAAGACAGTAGCAACCTCCTGGGTCCTGGTGTCCCACTGGAGGTGGGCGCAGGCTGTGACAGCTGGCAATGCTGGGAAGTCAGAGAGCACCTTCACATATTTTGTGTCTGTTTTGTCTCTGAATACCAGGACAGGTACAATGTGGTCCCCTAGAAGGAGAAATTTCAGCCAATGTAAAGGACGAAGCACAGGCCAAGGCCTGCTCATCTTCCATTGGAATGAAACCATCATTTTGCCTCCTACTCAAGCTAAGAACTCATGGGCCCTGCAGGCAAGGACATCTGTAAGCATGCAGCAAAGCTCCTGCTTCTCCTGTGCCTGGAGGGGATTGGGAAGGCAGGTGAGCTGAGATCACATCATTTTGTAAGTGTAATTTACAGAAACTTAGGATTCTAGCAAATAGGATTGCAAACAATGAAACTGAAAGGAACAGCATGTTCCCAAGCATCCCATGCCATAGCAACCAAGAGCGCAGTCAAATAACACCTTTGAGGCACCTGCTGGGGAATGCTTGTTCTCCTGGTCCTGTCCCTAACCCCATGGCTCTGCAGGACCTGCAGGTCACAAACAGTGAGGGTGGGAAAAGCCAGACCTGCTTACAGGGAGATGGTACAGGAGGAGAGAGCAGAGCCCCTCAGCAGCTCCCTTCTGCTGCAGTGCACTGACAAGTCTTGAGAGTGACCAGGCAGCTGATGTGTTCTGGCTATTGTTACCACAGTAACAATAAAAAATGAGTGGTAGCTTTTCCAGTCAGATTAGTTTTTCAGGAATGAAAAAGATCCAGCAGTGAACATGTCTCCAAATAGTCCAAGCCCACTTATACTCACGTCTCTGTTTTGGTTTGTGCAGGACACCTTCCCTTTCATTCAGCCAGACAGAGCCTCTGATGTGGTGGGACTGCAGCAGCTTGCTGAAGGAAGCTCCCTCACTGCCTTGGGGTTCAAAAAGTAACTGAGCAAAGTGCTGTTCACAGAATCTGTCTGCATGCCACCAGTCCAAAGCAGTGGCCACATATTCATACACATCTCTTGAGGTCTCAATCGTGACAGGAGCGAAACCTGGAGAAAGACACACAAAGACTCTCCCATCTGCCCTCACACCATATACACTACAGGGTCAGGCTCTTGCAGCATCCCCAACACTTACAAACAGTGCCTGGTGCACCCAGAGGAGCTGGAGGCAAGAGCTCATCTCCATATTCAGCCCTCAGGATGTTCAGTGAAGCAGATATGTACAAGCAAAATTTTCTCATTTTATACCCATTTCCCAGCTCCTACCAGCCTCTGCATTTGCAGATGTAATTTGAAAGCACAAAATAATCTCTTTTGTTCAGTTATAGTGGCACAAAGACCAAAGGCTGAGCACTGCTTACCTGGTTTCAGACTGTACTTTCATAGCCAAGTGAATACTTAGCTGTGCAAATACTATTTCAGACACAAAACAGGTTATTGGAAAAAGTTTCTTCAGCTCTGTCTCTGGACAACTTTTTATGCATTGTTTCTCTGTGCTGAACATTGCTTATAAAAACATACAGAAGTGCTGATAAAACCACTGACCTTTTGAAGTCTGATTCTTGGCAAGGGCTGCAAAGGCAAAGAGACTCCTGGACAGACTAGTGACCTGTTGGAGAGGATGTTCTGTAACTTTGTAAGAAGCTCTAATATTATCCCAAACACTCAAATTATAAAAAAATACTGTAAAACTCACCAGAAAGCTGAAGAACCAAGAGTCAGTTCTCAAGTCTCTCCTAGCCATGCTGACCCACGGGAAAGCTCTCACTCTTAGCTAGAACAAACGAATTGTTGCTAGAGATGCACTGCAGGAACAGAGGTAGCTCAAACACGGCTGTTTTCCTCAGAAAGACTTGAACAAAACCCAAGAAAACTACTCTAAAATACCTGTCCTGGGTAGAATCATACCTAAATAATTCTCATTTCTTCTTAAAAGAAATCAAGGTCTCAGTTTAACGTTTGTTTCCAGGATACAGAACAACTAATCGTAAAACACGTGCAGCTGTGTGACATTACCAGGGGAGTTACCAGTGCCTGCACGAACCAAATAAAACACCCATCGTCAGTGGCGTTGTTAAACGGTGCCAAATCACTGCCAGCTTTCCTGATTTCTTTCAAAGCCCACAGGAATACAGCCCCAGAACGGGCCCTGCAGACCAGCCAGTCCAGTTCCCACCAGCAGCGCCCAGCAGGGAGCTCAGCAGCAGGACGGGTGGGCACCCCCCGCAGCACGAAACCCAGGCAAGTCTGAGATAAGGGCACGTAAAGATACCAACATGGAAACTGGCCGGGTGTTCTCCAACTCAAACGAGCCCCCCTGCCGCCCCTGCCAGCCCGGAACAACCTCCTCGCCCTGCTCCCCGTGCCCTCGGGGCTCGGGAGGCACCGGCTGCCCAGGGAGCGGGGCCGGTGCTGAAGCCCCGACTCTTACCAGTATATTCCCAGTCGTCCAGAGCTCGGCAGTGACTTATCCACCCACAACACAGTTACAAGCCCAGGGCAGTGCTGGGCTC